TCTCATTCATTTTTCATGGTTTTTCAAAGTTTTTCAAGCCACTTTTCTTACATTTTTAGCCTATTTCTTCAAGGTTTCTAAATCCCCCCCCCCCCCTTTTGACATCCTTCTCACCTATTTAAAAGGTGTTTTACACACTTAACAAGTCTTTTAATTTTTCATAAAATTTTGACATAACCTCCTTTGTTTCAAAGCCTTTTTTTCATCTAATATTCACAATATTTCATATGCATAATTATATCACAATCCACCCTCACTCGATGGCCACAACCCATGTGATTTAAACATACATCTCTAATTCTCAACATATACATCTAATTGTCCCAATATACACATATGATACTCATTAAATAAAGACATCTCAAATATCAATTGAGTTTACACTCTTATACATTAAAATGGTCCAAGACCTTTAATCCACTATTTTTTCAAACTAGAATACAAGTCATTTGGGCTTATGCCCATACATACAAAATATGTCAAATGACCAAATATACATTCAAGTCCCTTTCATTTCCTTCCTCTAAGACTTTCTCAAGTCTCAAGTACCAGGAGCCTCATCTATCATATGACATCCCACGAATGGGTCAGCTCAACTGCTGGTATGACAAAGTGCTAATGCTAGGAACAAATTTAAGGCATGACATGTGCAAGTATACATTTTTAAAAGCTACAACCCCATAATCTCTTAATGATATGCAATGTCAATATACATGACACAACCATGCAACTTTATGCCACCCATGTCTCGTTTCACGGTTTGCCCCCATCAGCCCATGAGTACTGTCATTGGCCAGATTTTGGATTTTCACCACATGATCTACACCCTCATAATGCATAGCACCAAGTGCTCAACCCACACTATGTTCCAAGGATTCATGTATGTCAAGATGCCATGATTTTTCTCAATGTGCATTCTATGAAACATTTCATCAAACACCTTATCTACATGAATGTGAAGCAACATTCAATGGATGAAACATATTATCAAGCTTCATATTCATTACTTTCACAATTTCTCAAAGAAACTACAAATACACAACTACTAAATCATGCAATAAATCATAACTCTCAAACCACAAGAGTTTTTCTACATGAATATAAGCTAGAATATAATAATCCAACACATAAGCAATATACACCTTTACCATAGAAAAAAATTGTCAACAAACTCAAAAAAACACAAAAGTACTTAAACCATAAATTCTAAGTTTTCAAAGCAACTACTAACTAAATGATTTTCTAACATCAAGTAGACACCGAAATTATCCAATCAACACATAGGAAGACAAGAAAACTTAAATTTATTCTCAACTTAGCAAAATATCATACCTAAAATAGTTTTTCTCAAACCAAGGAAGCCGTGTTCACTTTATAGCCAAACTGTTCGGAGATAATATAGCTCTTGTTGAGAGGAACAACTTCTTAGAAGGAAATCTTGCAAGAATCTTGGCCTAGGATTGAGTTTTGGTGGCTTGAAGCTTAAAGAACCTAGAATTTTTCTTCCTTTTTCCTCCAAAAACGTGTACTGACCCTTCTCAGCCCAAAAATACTAACATTTTTACACTAAAGGGCTGCATTTATGGTGGAGGGCAAAGGTGCAAAAAGACACTTTTGCCCTTGATGAATCCGGGACCCCATTACACTACAACTTGTCTTGAAACGCCTCAATTCGACATTTTATTATAACCAAAGTTCTTAAAAGTATTTTAAATGAAAATTTTCAAAAAAATATATTGTCGCTAGTGGCCGGGTTTGGCCGGTCTCACCTAGGCCGCCCGGGATACCCTTTTTGTCTAATTTTTGAAACTGTTTTCGTTTAGGCTCAAATTTTTATAGTAGGTGTATTTTAACATTCTAAGCATGTTTCTATTGTATGGCATACTCAAATTATGCTCCTAAACATAACTTATACATAAATGATGCATATGTAGTGCCCTACCAACAAATTGTGCATGAATAGTGCCCTACCGGCAAAACTGAAAAATTTATCCTTACTTTTCAAATTTCTACATACTTAAACAAGAGTCGCCATAATAGCAATCCAACTTAGTTGACTTAAGATCTTAAGATCAAAGTTCAAAAGAAAAACCGAATTATGTGTAACTTAGAGACGCATTGAGGAGATTTTTTACTCATTCTCATTCCTATGATAACATAGTGTATATTTGCCATGAGAACTAGGGCAAGTTACGTTTTTAATGATTTATGTGACTTGAAAAATCTAAGTAGGGTATAATAGGATACTCTCAATCAGAAATCACCTGTGTGAGTAAGAAGGGGTCACTTTTATAAGAATCGTAGGCTAATTACTTTAAATTACTCATAAAACTAAGTGGTGCTCAAGGCTAAAATATACACAAATGTGATAATTAACTGTGTCCGAAAGAAAACTATGTGAATTATATTGTTTTGGTTTACATAAACAACTAACAGTTCAAAAAATCAAGTCCATTGATTAACCAAATAAATCCATAATCTTCAATAACGAAAGTTCATGGCCACTAGGTTATTTATCTTGATGTAGTAACCTTCCACTTACGTTTGAATTTGCATCTATATTTCATACATTGAATTTTCATTCATGTGGGAGATTGTTGAAAAATAATGGGTTTGATTAAGTTACTTTTAGTAACTATGGGCTTAAATAAAAATGGAACTCACTCACACCTCGAAATTAGTGGAACTAAGTTTAAACGTGTTTTCTTCTACGAGGAGATTAACGTGATATATTTATTTGTTAAAAAAAATTATTAAGTATTGAATGAGAAATTATGTCTTAAAGTGACTCACTTGAATTGATGGAAAAAACTAAGTTTAATGAAGTATAGTTATAAGGCTTGTCCCACATTAGAAGAAGACAAAAAACTTAGTTAGTATACTCCTTGTTGGCTTCATGGGTTGAGTCCCAAGGGGTACCACACTTTTATGAGCAGAGCAAGTACGTACACAACTTTAGTTACTACAAGTGTGCGCCGCCCACCACAACCCGACCTGGCCAGGTTTGGGCCTTGGGTCAAACCAAACAAATTCGAATACAAATTTAATTAATCTTTCAACCAAAATTAAAATATCTAACCAGATTTATAAATTTTTTGTCCGTTAAATTAGATTTTGGCACCAAAATTGAATTGACTCGTTTCAAAAGTGACTTTCCCTTTCATTATTGTTCAAATTAAAGGCATGTCTCTTCAATCCATATAGGTTCAAAGAATAGTAGCATCTTGTACCTCTTCGAGCAATCCAAACATGCACTAAGGATCTATAAATAAACTGTCTTACAACTATTTTCCAATTATGAAAAACAGACAGTATTTTGCATACTACTGTATATATTCTCTCACTCTTTTTTTGCATTATATATTTGTTCGATTCAAGTATAAAACACAAATTTGTGTTCGTTAGAATTTTAAAGATTGAAGTGTTGTTTCTTTAGAACCAAAAATTTATTCTATTTTGAAAGACAATTGCTTATAATCTTAAGCACCAAGAGAGAACAAATTTGTCTTAATGAAACTATGATTAAATAGGGCTCGGATTATTTTTAAATCATTATTATTTTTGTTGTTCTAGATCACTGTAAGTGTATTTATGTTTGTTAAGCTTTTTATTTTATTAATTAGTTTTCATTTAACAGTATACCTAGTGATTATGAATTTGTTATAGTAATTGTGATTATATATATATATATATATATATTTTGGTTAACAGAACTTTGTTTGTTCTTCCAAATATAATCATAAGAATAATAATTCACATATAAATACATACATGCATGATTTTTATGCTACTAAAAACGTGGAATCTGTTTCACTATATAAAATGGATTTTTGCTTTTCTTGATGAAATTATTTTTTCTAACATAAAAAAAGATTTTTAAACCATAGATAAATTAACATAAGAAAAAGCCTCTTTACCATGAGTGTGTTAAGGTCAATCTGGTAAGTAAATTTTGACTAGTAGCAAAAAGACAGTTCAAAAAGAAATTTTGAGTTTGGACATCTCTTCTCAACAAAGCGATGTTTCATTTATTCATTTTTTGGGGTCTCATTACTGGAACCGGTGAAGTACTAGCATCCAGCATTATTGCATTGCATATTTCTCTATCAAATGTTTCTAAGAAATTTCATTTTTATTCAAGATTATAATTTATAAATGTTCTAAATACTTTGTCAAAATATTAGAGTTGGTTGACCAAATCAACCCCTCTGAACGGTCTAATGATAGGCTAAAATAGCTATTAAATCAACCGATGATCCTCTCCTTTTAGGGCTAGCATCCCTTGATTTATAACATATTTTTCATGACTACCCATCCTCTTGTCAATTATCTTTAGAGCCCATAGAGCCTTTCAGTCAATGGTGCCTTAAAATTATTTTGAAATTAAAAAAATTGTTTAAACTATCCCCTTTTATATTTGTAATTATATTATTGATTTAGATTGTACTTAATTATTTATAAATTATATACATCAGATTACTTAGATTTTTCTCTCGGATTTGGAATATTGATATAGCAATTCTGAAATTTATTCTTCAAAATTGCTCTCTGGGTGAATCATCATTTTTCAAAAATCCAACACACAGTCCACCGGAAATTTCCTGCAAAATACAAAGCAAATAAAAAGTTACATAAATCAGAATAAATAAATTAACAAACAGGCCAAAGAAAACAAATACTTAACCTCCCCGGAACAACGAATCCAACTTATTTGCAACGAACAGACAGCTCACTGATCAGGCATGCCACGTACAAATACGACGCAAATACCACCAAACGGCGATAACGGAAAACGTCAAACTCAACGTAACTCCCAACCGATCAATTATCAAAACGATGGAATAGAGTAAGAGTTAGTCGGATTGTGGGACGAAGCACGGCGCCAACCATATCAGATCCGTCAATTATCAAATGAAAATCCATTTTTTTAATGAACTCAAACAGAGATTAATCTCAAATTATCAAAATTGGATTAGGATTAACTGGTCCTTAACTTTGATTAGCCTTTAATGGTTTTGTTATTTATAAATGTGTATCTACAGAAAAGGTCCTGTAATTAAGGTATTTAGGGTTTCGGTCACCGGAGTACACAAAAATCATTTCCGTTTGGACCTCCGCTGATTGTCCGAAATCCAACGTCATCAACCTCGCTTTGCCCCGCCATATTACGTCACCGTTGCCGGAAAAGTACGAATTCATTGATCATCACAATTCTTCGGCTTTCGACATGACCGAAAGGCGACTAGGCTGCAGCTGGAAGGAGGCTCGCCGCCTTTGCTGATGCGACGAAGGCCGAATCGACGCCGCCAAAGCTCTCTTCACCAAATCGCCTTCAACGGTACCAATTCTCACTAGCGAGTTAGTCATCGTCGACCTCCGCGCATTCAACCGATTTGAATGATAAGACACCGTCTGACTTTTCCCCAAATTCTTATGCAAACCACACCGGAAAGAGCCTGGATGCGTCGTCGGCGAACACATACAGCTAGTCCTCTTCCGAAACGACACCGTCTGGTTGTTGCTTGGCTTTTTCATCACTTGAGTATGAGGCGAGACAGAGATCGGCCGGTTCGGTGAAATCGGACGATCCTGAGAGAAGTGTACGGACGGTGCTGATGAAACGGGGCCACACATATTCACACGAGTAGGAGAAGCAGATCTGTGGAAGAAGGTGCTGGATCGAGAAGAGAAGTTTGAACTCGAAGAACAAAACGACGGCGCACCGGTACGCGAAGAGCAGAATCTAGCAGAAGGAGAGAGAGATCGAAGCACTGGTCCGGCTGATCTCTGAGACGAAGCTGACGCCGCCATTGTTGTCAGTACAGAGTGGAATTGAAGGGGAGAATTTTGAGAGAGAGTGGGAGAGAGTAGAGACAGAAAATCTTTCTTTCTTGAAAAACCGTGTTCGGCAACTGAATTGAGCAAACCCAGCTTCAGTCGAGCTAGGTATTTATAGGACCGAAGGACAGATTTTTAAGTTATATTATACCTTGTAGTACTTTGAATCCGTCATATTTTATCTTTTTAAAATTTAAGCTTGCACTGGAAATTATTAAAGTAGTTTTATTTTAGTTTTTAATATTTTAATTATATTATTTTAATCTTTAAAGTATTAAAAATATTTTTATATAGTCTCTTATTAAACAAATAACATTTAAATTTATCACGTGATAAGGACAAAAAAGTAATTTGGCTAACTCTTGAAAAAAAAATGTATAATTTGGGTAGCAATTGATAAAATTTTGAACAGTTTATAATCAAAATTGGGTAATTTGGGCAGTTCATTAGCCAAAATTTGGATAAAAATTTGATCAAGAACTACCAAAATTAATTTTTTACCCATATCTAGGCATTAATGATAAGTTTATAATCAAAAATTATTTGCAATCTGGATGTTATTTATTTAAGAAATTACATAAAAATATATTCAATATTTTAGGGAAGAAAATGATGTAATTAAAATGGGATTAAAATAAGATAAATCTCATACTTTGAAACCTCTAGTGTAATTAACCCTAAAATTTATATATAATTTTTTGATGAATTTTCTTAATTCAATATAAAAAATAATGATTTATTTTTGAAAATTTTAATTTATTAATTAATAATTATATGAACTAAATAAATTATTCAATGCGCAAAAAGAGGAAAAAAAGTGATTGATTTATATTATTGAGGGACAAAGGCATAAAAATTATTAATTTTATTAGTTAATTATAATTTATTAAAGTGAGACTCATTTTAATCTCACTTGATCGTGTGCGTCATTTTTGTGTCGTGTGAAATTATTTTTCTATTTAATAATTGATCTTTTTTTGAATATAATTAAATTTATATTATTTTAAATATGTGTCGTGTTCCTCTCATATTTAATAAAATTCGTGCTAAAATTTCTTAGTTTAGGAAGTAATCTTTAATTTGTATCACATGATTGGGTTAGTTTTGACTGAGGTTTAGGTATTGAAAAACCATGGGCAGTTGGGGCGGCTATAAAACGACCAAGGACCACGCAGTTTGTTTTGCGGCTTTTATGGTGGGGAAACAGTGGGTGCCGCGTAGTAATGTTCGTATGGTAACAAGGTCCGCTGTGATTCCACGTAGAAAGGAGGGCAATTATTTATTCTGATTTTTCTGTGGGTGGAATAATTAAATTATTAAGGCATATAATTAGGGTATGGGAGGCATGTGGAAGTAAGTATAAAGAAGGGGACATGTGAGGTGTCATACATGACAACAGTTAGCATAGGTTTTGTTTTCTTTAATGTGGTTTTGGACACTTAATTTGGCCTACCTTATTATTAGTTAAGATCATCCTGGGTTCTAGTTAGCCTACCTTGCTTGAATTACTAGTGGTGGCTAAAAAATGGGGATATTAATTAGAAAATAATTAATTAAGACAATGAAAAATCTATATTTAAATCTTCTAACAAAATGTAAGAAAATACCACTTGTCTCCTCTTTTTGGGTAAAAATTAAAAAAAAAGGAATTTGACGAGATAAACTAGAATTAGCATTAAAACCCATATAGACTATTATGACATTACAATTTTATAAGGAGCTTACCCACCATTAGGCCACAAGTGCTTGTGGTGGAAATAGTCTGGTTTTTAATACAAAAGCCACCCTCTTGAAAATGAAAACCATGAGGTGGCTGTATGTCTAGGACATTTCATGTAGCCGTTTTTATGAACATTGAAAGTCAAAAATTCAGAATAATCAATGACTAAAGATTCCTTCTTTCTTACAATCACATGGTTAGAAATAGTTTGCTTAACCCCCGAGGTGGGCAAGGTGACAATTTCTAGCATAACATGAAAGTATAATTCAAAATCAACACAAAATTAGTAGGTTAAAGTTGATCATTTTTTGACACAAATTCATGACCCATTAACATAAATAATAAATGAGTTGAGTTAGTGTCAAATATGAAATTAACACAATTAATACGTTTATATAGTATTATAAGAATAAATATTAAATGAGTTGAGTTAGTATCAAATATAAAATTAACACAGTTAACACGTTTATATAGTATTATAAGAATAAATATTAATTTTATCAAGTACTGACCTAATTCTTGTAGAAAAAAATATTTTTAATTATTTTTATTATTATATTTATTAAGTTAATTTTAAATTTATAAAAAAAGTATGAGCATAGATTTGATTAAGTGATAATAAAATTTTAAACATAAAATTGAGCATTTAATTTTTTATTCAAGAGTTATATAAGTTAACACAAACACGATATTAAAATAAATAGGTCGACATCATATGACATGATTAGTTAAACAAGTTGAATTAGAGTTGATTAATGCTCGGCACAAATTCGAAATGACACAACACGGACACGACACTAATGCTAGAAGATTCTTGAATGCTATCAGACTGTGGAGGCAGTATAGCCTTGTCAATAAATTAGATTTTAATCTAAATTTAATCTCAAATATAAAATTTGAGCATTCAAAAAATTGAACTCATTATATTAAAAAAATTGATAAAATTTTCTCAAAATACATTATCTCAAAAAAATATTAATATATATACACTATCATATATTAATAATATCTGTAATAAAAATTATATAGAGCCACAACAATTAATATGTGATAGAAATGAGCGGGATAAAATATTTGAGGATAAAAATTAAAGTGTCAGCTATCTACAATGAAAATTGTATTGAGACACAATAATCAACGTGTGATAGATATGACTTATGAGTAATGAGATGAAAAAATATGTGAAGATAAAATTTAAAGTGTTAGTATCTTATTAGATAGATGTTTTTAACAGATATTTTGAATTTATTATATCGTATTTGAATGATTTGAAACTCAAATATCAATGTCGGATTCAAAAATTAGGGGTGCAACTTGAGTTGGACAACTCGATTTCAACTCGAGCCCAACCCAAAAAAATTAGGACTTGGGCAAAGGTTTTTAATACTTGGGTTGGTTTGGGTCAAAAAATTTCAATCTAAATTTAATTTGGGTTAGGTTCGAGTTAAGGCCTCATGAACCTGAGTTCAATCCGAACCCGACAAATACATGAACATGGCTCCTAGATTGTTGGAAAGTTCATTCTAACTGCACAACTCATATGGTGAAAAATATTCAACCATTCTAGAGATTCTAGTCAAGTTCAACCCTATAAGCTTCAACTAAAATTAATGTGCCACTCTCACAGCACTTGGGACCATTCAATTATGGTAGTTGACAAAGTTGAACGAATCAAAACTATAAGGACCAACTACTTCAATGGGTATTGTGGCATTTTAATAAATTAAGCAAGTTATGCGAATAATTCAGTCAAACTTTTCGTAGAAGTTCAAAATAGTCAACTCTTTTGGGTGACATCTCCTTGGACTTTGAATGTTGACCTTTTCTTCTACTATAGATTGCATAACTTTCTTGGCAATTGAACAAACAGCCTGTTTGCTTTACTATCATAGCAAAATGATTTTGATCATTTGAAGGTGAAACAAAAAAGTAAATTACACTTTATCCTCCTAAATTATTATTCTTGTTTTACTTTATACCCTTAATTATGAAATTTCTCATATTGCACCCTAAAGTATTAGTTTTTTTTTTTTCACATTACTCTAATAAATAACGATAAACTTAAAAATCTTTCAAATGAAGAAAAAGAAAATCTTTCAAGTGCCTAGTACCATTTTATTTTACCTCTTTTTACAGCCAAATGGTTGCTAGAAAGAAAAAGAAAGTCAACCAGAAAAAGAAAATTTGAAACTTAGGAAGGCCAAAGTCATGAATAAGTATTTTTCTTGATTTTTGACCTGCACATGTAAAATAGACAGTTGCTTATTGAAAATACAAACCATTTACATGTGCATTTATCATAAAAAAAAATAGACATTCGTTATCAATTATAGTGATATGAAATAAAATTAATACTTTAGGGTATAATGTGAAAAAATTTATAATTAAAAATACAAAATAAAATAAAAAAGAGTTGGAGAAAGAGAACAATTAGAAAGGAACCGAATCGATCAATGATTGATTATCATATCTCCCATTTAAATAATCAACGGTAACCAACTGGGGTAGATCATATTGGTTCAAATATCAAAGGCAAACACCGTTCCTGCAAAGTTTCCATAAATATTGGTACATCTAATGACGATTATATCTCAGTAATAAAGTTTTACTTATACCGACATGAATTATTTAGGTTCAAATATTTTCTCCATATATGTAGGACTGACAATTTTTGATATGTTGTGATGAAATCAGTGCGACGTGGATGAATGCTAATTGGTCATAACAGATCAACTTAACAAATATATCGATATAAACTCAGTTACATATGATATGAACTTGGTTTACCGTGACATAAATTACACAATGCACGACTATAAAAAGGTCGAGCAATGATTTAGTAAATATTACCAAGACAATACATTAACACAAAAACTCAATATTACTTAACATAATTCATTTCAAACCCTAACCATACATTAAAAAGTGGCACTTTCCACCAAATGACCTTTATTTCATTGTTTTGTGTTAAATTACCATCTTATGTAAAAGGTTTAAGTTGATAGAAATAGGTGCAATATACAGTTACCCAATATTTTAACTCATGTGTGGTTTGGTTTGGTTTGGTTTGAGTAATCTATCCGCGTGATTCAAACAATTTTACGAAATTGTATTATGGTTCTAGCCTCCAAAGAAAAGTATGATGCAGTTTGAAAATGCTGTGAATTATAAGATGAAAGGTAGTATTCCGACGTGGTGGGGAACCAAGAAGTTTGCATACTTGGGGCCAAGCTCAAAGCTTAGATTGATGTTTTTTTTTTTTAATTTATTATGACAATTGATCTTTGAAGGAAGATGTTTTTCTTTTGTAGGTCCGATTATAATATCAAAATTTTATTTTTTATTTAATAAAAACTTGATAAAAATATTTTTTTTGTTTAATAAGTTAATTTTACTTTTTTATTTTACCAATGAGTGATTATAAATGCATCAAATAAAGATCTATTTTGTGGTCTATAACCTTAATTTGACACATTTATTTTACGTGTCAATTAATTAAATTATTTCCAAATTTTATATCGATCTAGTTCGTGGGTAAGATTGACACCCTTATCTATACCTGCAGTGCCGTTGAAAAAAACAAGATGCAGACTGTTGCCGCGATTAGCCTCTTACCATTTATTGATTATTAATCTAAATTGGTAACGAAAAAACGTTCTAACACTTGATTTTTTGACACATGCAGTTCCAATTTTATACAACTTTCTTGAAATATCATAAATTAAGTAATCAACACACTCCAACCTAAAATTGGCTAAACAATAACTCGTATTTGAACTAATAAAAGGCAAATGACATTTTGTATTGTGAAAAATTTTCAAATTCTCAATTTATACTCTAGAAGATTAAGAGCAATGCTATTGAGACCTAATTTATTGACTTAATTCACTATGACATTTAGATTAACTATAGAGTCTATCAAACATTGGAACTTGGTGTTGATCCAATGGTTCTACTAAAGCCACATCATTATGTCAACAAATTAGATCAAATTTTTAAATTCAAATAGTATTACTCAAAGATTAAAATTGTCACATTGAACCATCAATTATATAAAAAAAAAAAAAAAAAACCAGCAATGTGGTGTATCCTAATAAAATGGATGAATTGTACTTTGCCCCTGAAAATTTTTAAATTTTTTACTTTATACTCTTAAAGATTAATTTTTTCACATTGCACCCTAAATATATCAAAAGTATTATAATGTGACCGTTTTGTTAGCTTTCTATTAGTTTTTTCATCAATGTCAACAGATTGATTTTTGACAAAAAAAAATAACGAAACCTAACATAAGGGTTATGTTACCAAACTTTTGATATATTAGGGGTGAAATTTGAGAGATTTAATCTTTAGGAGTTGAAAGTAAAAATTTTGAAATCTTTCAAGATATAAAGTGCGAAAAACTCTAATAAAATTAATGACATGTATATATAGTTGATATAGAGTGATATATAAATGCATATATACACAAATAGAAAAATCTATACAATAAAACACATAAGAAGTTGAATTTTATTTCCTATACATTTTTTTCTCTCAAAACCATGACATCATACATTTGTATCACATGTTCAATTATTTAATATTTGATTAATTTATAGTATAACATAATTTTTATTTTAAATATTATTTATACACGATAGTATACATATGTTGAATTTTTTTTATCAAATTACGTATTATGATAAAATTTTGTCAATATTTAAAAATAAATAATGGATAAAAATAAATTTTGAATGATGTAATCAAATAATTGAAGGAAAAAAAAATTATTATTTAATATAGTAAGATTGATTTTTTGGGGTTCGAATTTTATGTCCTATCATGCTTTCAGGTACGGATTATAACTAGTACAAAAATATAGCACAAAAATTGTTGAACAAAGCAGCCAAAGTTTATTTTGGATTATATTGCTAAAAACACAACGGTGAAGCCTCATTGAAAATGAAAATGACATCAAACCAATCCCTTAAACATCACTATAGTTAGATTAGATTATTTCGTCGCCTACAACATTCTGACATTGTCCTCCTCGTGGATTCCCTTTTTTACAAAACCGTGTCGTTTTGGTTGTCTTTTACTATGATTAATAATAGTGTGAAAATGCTATTTAGACTCAAAAATTAGATAGACAAACACAATTCAAGAAATGTCAAAAAAATGTCTTAACCTTACTCTCACAATCTGAAAGACTAGATAATTACTTCAATCATATTTCGAGAGGCTAAAATACAATTATCTTTCTATAAATATGCAATTTAGGATAAGATATCTAAATTTTACCACTTACAGATAAAAAAACAAATTTCACTCGAGGCTCGGGTATAAACTTAATCTTATTACTACTAAAGGATTTATTCCCTAACCCCCTTTTTTTTTTTTGGGTGCAACCCTAACAATACGAATTGTTTAATATTAGGGTGTATTTGGTTTGGCTATCAGGTAATTGATAGGGCTAAATAAGTCTAATGATTACTCAATATGAAGTTTGTTAGTGTGTTTAATTTTTATTAATATCAGCGATGCTACAGTTTCATCTACTACTATGTGCTTGTTATAAGTGAAAACCAAAGAATTGTTGATACTAATGTCAAAAATAAACAAAGTACCCACCAAATATACGTTACTGGTATTACTATTTGTACAATAAACTCGCACCTTATCTAAATCCTAATTCAAACATGATATAACTGAGATAGGATAAAGTGGTAGACTGATTATGGAGTAGAAACTACAGCCATGCTAATATTATCATTCCTCCATTTCCCATTTTATGTGCCAACACTCTCTCAAAGAGATGAAGTAGCTTTACCGTAAATAATCAAGCCTAAAATATTGTGGCCTTGATATAGGCAAATTTACATTAAATGATTCCATATTGAGATGAGAAAGAACTGCATTACTTGAAAGCACAAGATTATGAGCACTTTAGGGAGCCTTATCCCTATCAAAATGAATTCCAGGGGGCCTAGTCATTACCCGTTTGGTATATATACGATGCCTTCGTTCTCGAGCGTAGACTATCCACAAGACGAGTAAAAACATTACAGAAATAGAAGACGTGATGAACCCAATGTACATCCAACGCGTGTATTGCCTCAAACTTGGACAATAATCTTTACTGATATCAGCAAATGTTTGTTTCAGGAAAGTGGAGTCTGTCAAGTTGAGCAGGAACGGGCTGGTGCAATACAAGCCATAGCTGACATTTACTGAGGCTGTCATCTGCGAGTAACGATCGAGGGTAAGACGACCTGGTGTAGTGCAAATTCCGGCTGCTGAAGCCTGACAGATATAGTGCCGCCACACCTGTGCCAAAAAAGAAAGGCAAATCATGACAACGTATAACTAACGAGAAACCATGAAAATATCACTAAAATGGACATTTAGGTGTCCCGGAATAAGGACATATCTATGTGAATATCACAATACCAATGACTATTTCAATTCATGATTGTTTAGAGTCTCTCATTACTTTTCTTCTCTAAATTCTGAAAACTTTCTGAAAAGTGGACATGGGTGATTTTTTTTTTTTTTTTTTTGAGCATTTGAGAAAAGCACAAGCATAAAAGATATTGTTCTTTTATTTTAGGGGGTTGGCATGCTTTCACAATTTAGCAGCATATATACTCTTCTAAAAAGCTCTCATGTCTAGATTAACTTCTTATTGTGAATCACTGTAGTGGCATATTTAGAAAGTCAGTTCGAAGATTACATTTTAAATCTTAAAATTGTTGAAAAGGGATTCGAAAATGGTACCCTATAACTCTAATCTGCACCCCAGTAATGATGGAATTCCTTCGGGTGTTCCAAACAAGACAACAGTATGAAAAATGGTACCATATTACAGTTATGTTTTCCACGGTCCAATTGCAAAAACACGGATAACATTATTCAACATGATGATCATTAAGCGATTTTCCATTGTCATTTCCTCTTTTTTCTTATCAGGTAATTTTTGGATATTGACCCATATGGAGACATGGATACCTTTGATGCATTTGCGAAGTCCACTTCACCAGTCGCACATTGCCGATCAGTAAGATCCTTATTATACGGGTTGCAAAGGACAGGCATCAATGGACCAGATTGATTGTAATACAGAGGTCCCAATTCTGGAGGAATGTTGGCATTGGAGACATTGTTGATGGCACCGTTAAGCACATTGATGATTCCAAAGGTTGTCCCCTTGGTCACTGATGATATTTCTTGGGCAGTTTCATTGTCTACTTTTGGGAGTATATTTCCAAGAGCTGAATCAGCGGCAGGGTTCAGAAGCCATTCATCCATTGCAATGCAACTGTCCGCAACCACACTAGAGTGCAAAGGACAAAATCGAAGAAGCATAAGAACATAATCCACGATTACACAAAGAAATGCCAGGAATACGATGGTCAAAAAAACATTTTCTTTCTCATAATAAAGCTGCAAACCAGCATAATCATAATAGATTTATTTCCACAAACACTTCCAAGACCCATGTTGATTTGTGGCTCGTAGATACAGTCCTTCAGAATTCATTTTTGGTTAAGCTTTGGTACACACAATATAAATATTAGACACAGACAAAACCAAGGTGTATTATTCAGGACAGATTACAGATAAAAAGAGATCTGTTCTCATAAATTGGGTCATTTTGCTGTTCAGGAAGGCTTTACTTATCCATATCATATGGTCAGAAGGTTAGAAAGAGTACAGGATTCGAAACACCCTGGCTACAGCCCCATGATCAACTGAACACAGAATTAGCTAGTTGAAGAAAGTAATAGGTTCAAAAGGATAAAAGTGAATTGGAATGTGAGTAAGCATGAAAAAAAAACACAGATCTGCTCTTGGATTAGTTGGAATTAGTAGCTAGGCAGGAAGGTTTATGACTCATTTGTTCAAAGTGACAAGGAGCGGGAGCAGATTTTCACTGGTGGCAGCTGCCACTACTACAATCCTGAAAAACTTTTAAGTTTATTTAAAATTTAAAATTTCTAACACTTTTTAGAATTTGTCCCCAGTAAAAAATTTGTAAAAATTTATGCGTAACTTTATAATAGAATAGTACTTTTGAGACCTAAAAATCTGAATTAATTTGTAAACCGAATTATGTGTCACAGTGATGTGAAGTCCATAAGTTAATTAGTAGAATAATATTATTGGACCATATTAATCAAACATAATTAGGTCATCAAATTAATCAAATTTTTAGGTATAATAACATTGCTCTTTATATTTTAGTAAATAAGTGAGATTTTTTTCAGACTTAAAAAATTAAATATAAACTTCTTCATATGATTCAATGTCAAGACTCTCGATTTAGTCTCTATAGTGTGTGCACATGTCACAAATTTAAATTAAAATAGGACTTGAAATTTAAAATTTTAATTTTAAAATTGTAGTTTAAACTTTCAAATTCAGAGATTAAACCTAATTATGGACAAATTAACATGTTTGCGATATGATTAAATAATTTGACCATTATGATTTTAATTTAACAATAAGTTAAAGATTGCCGCTACTAAACAAAGTATCTGGCTCCGCCCCTAGCAAGGAGTACTCGTGATACAACTGAAGTGACATAGTTGACAAGTGAAATTAATGGATTAACCCAAAAATTGGACGTCTATAAGGATACATCCTTGGTGCTTCAATAATTAGAAAAACCAATGCCGCATCCCTCGGTGAACTTGGTTCAAGTTTTCACAGTCCTATCTCAAGCAACTAGGCATGGCCACATAGAACAGAGTTTTTACTTTTTAATTGCATATACTAATTTTTCTTTGAGTAAATTTGCATGTAGAAAAAATATTACCTCTCGATGAAACTATCATATATTACTCAAGTACTACTGACTTCTACATCCTCCGAAAAATACTTCTCACTCGCCTCCACCAAAGAAAGCACTTTTTCTTCATCTTCTTCAGAACTCATGACAATTCTTTTCATGTTCTCTTTATCATGCTTTGTATCACATGACGGGAAAAGCTGATGGAGAGCTTCCTATGGCATATTGAGAACCATACTTATACCCTTCGATTCTTTCCCCTAACTTTACCATATCAATTTCCTTATTTATGTTTATCAATTATATTGAAGAAATAAGTTTTTCTTTTTCTATGAATCTTTTTGTTTTCAATAGCCTTCACATATCCAATAACAGTGATCAGACACGGAAACAATATTCAAGTTTTGTTTCATTTAGCATATTAATGTGTGGTAAGTCTAATTTACTAAAACATATAAAAGTCTCAGCTTTTCTGCTCAAAGATTGTGATATAGTATAGACAGGGAAAGATAAAGAGTTTGACTAACAGTTAAAACTACAGAAAATGAAACAAAGTAGTAGTAGTATGGCCAATCAAATATTAATGACAACCCAAGACAAGTGGAAGCTGGACTGTCATTTCAATGCTGCATTTAAAGGTTACTGACATAATATAAAAAAGAGGGACAATCACCCAACCAAACTTACTTGTGTACAAGGAGAAACATGCCACTCATGATGAACGTTCCCGCCACAAGAATCCATCCAATGATCACTAAGCTTCCATTATCAAAAATATGAACATTTTTTGAGAATATATCAGCTAAAATGACAAGTGCTTCCAACAAAGAACAACCCAAAGAATTAATTCCGAATTATAAGGTTATATTTACCAGTAAACAAGACACTGCAGTCCGAGAATGGACAGCACTGAAAAACAGAAACCAAATATGAAATTAGAACTAGTTAAATGTAAGTTGTGATTGACTACATGGATTTAGAATAGCTCATCAGATTCACAACAATGGTAGCTTACAAAATCCTAGAGATGCCAAAATAAGCATAGCAACGGCAACATAAATTAGGGTGCACCTCCTGCAGTGTATGAAACACATAGGTCAATAGCAACAATAAATTCCCACAAATTATCACCATAAAAAAGGATATGCATGAAGAAGTAATTACATGGGATCCAAGAAACTCCGTATCTCATTAGAATTCTTGCCAGTTACATTACGAAATTCATCAGAAACAATGTTGATCGTTTTTCCAATATCGTCGATGGAATTTTGGTATTCGGCAGTTAATGAACTCTGTCCAACTGCAACATTCTTAGCAGACAGAAGATTATCAAACAAATTCTTGAGATTCACAATGATGGTATCTGCCTCGTGCAGAAGATAACTCAGTGTGTCAACTATGCTATTTTGGAACTTTTCTTGACCCGTATACAGAAATCCAATTCCAGCTCTAAAATTACACAAATGAAAGAGTTGGTCAAAAACGAATGACCTGACAAACATAATACAAAAACATACATATAGTGCGCCCAAACTCGCGCGCTCACACACACACAAAGAGGGAGACTTACATAGCCACAATGGTGAAGGCGATAAGGAAAATAAGGGAGAAAGCATAGGCAGTTCGAGAATAGCCATAATGTTCTTGCCTACAGCAGCAGCAGCAACAATGACGGAGGCAAATACAGAACAAGCATAATCCAAATATAAGGAACCAAATTCCAGCAATGATAACCGGGGGCGCTGCCGAAAAAGCCACCGACTGCAATCAAAACAGTAGCCTAAGAAAAAAGAGAAAAGGAAGCCTGGTGTGCAAATTGATAGTTTAATAGTTGTTTTCTTAGGTACTGTTAACTGTTAAGAACTTCACTGTATATATCAAGGGGAGGAAGACAATCAGGCTTGAAGGCCATAAATCAAGAGCTCTAATCAATCCAAAATGCTTACAAGACAACCCAAGACCAAATGTGATTCACAATTAAGACCGATCAAAGGACATGAGTCACATGACTGTTGGAAATTTACATCACTTTGTGTGTAGCATACCAGACATTTTCTCTTATATATGACATATTATTATTATGATTGCTGTGTGTTGAATGGTACAGTATTTCATTTGACTTGGTGGAATTAACAGGAATATGCCAATAATAAATTTCCGGCTTAGTGATCACAGAATATTGGTGGTGGAGATAAATCCAAGCTTATCCATCGATGAGGAAAATTAATTAAGCACTCTACATGTGATTAAAGTTGGTATCTAGGGGATGTCTAGAGGGATTAACTCCTAAAGGCCGAACAACTGCATGAATATGGAAAACATTACATTTATGCATGTGTATCTCACATAAATATTTAGTTATTACTTGGTATAATCTATTTCTTAAGAGAAATACTTTTATACGAACCTAGGAGTAGGACACCAAATTTTATGGTGGCAATAGTTCATCTTGTGTATCATCTGAGTTATGAATTTATCTCAAGGAATATGATGATAATTATTATGAGCATACACAATTGGCATGAGGACTCTTTGGCTACTCTGAGCATAGGAAACCAACTGAAGAGGAAACACTTGGGTTTTCAAGGAGTCTTTCAAAATACTAATTTAAGTCTCATTCTCTAGCTTTATGTATAAAGATGCAATTGTGAGCAAGCCCCGTCATACAAAAGTTCATGTGGGAAGAGAGTTGACAAGATCAGAGCATCAAGCAGTATTGTAGTGGGCAGTAAAATCCGTCAAAAATACGAAGAAAAACCTAGGTCTCCTGCTGGTTACAGATTCCAGAAATATTATTGATGCACACAAAACACAACTACTCAAGAGGCACACACTAATTAAGAGAATAGGGTAGATTCACTGGTGGATACACATCCTCACTTTAGTACCTTAATTTTCAATTATCTGCTTTTGATCCTTAATATCTCCTTTTGATCCTTAATGCTTTCAATTCGGTTTTAAATGATCTAATGGCTAACTTTCATCTGCATAATAAGATAGAGTGGAGACAGGGAAGTCATCATCAAAAGTCACATGACCCTTGTCTTCAAATTTTTTAGATGCGAGAGTAATGATTGGACCCTTTAAAAACAATTTAACATGTTAAACAATTAAACTTTCTACAGACAAAGAACACCGAAATACACCAAAAAATATATTAAAAAAAAATGCCCAACAGATAATTTGTCAAAAAACAAAGAAGGTCCACATATTGTTAAAATTAAACTTCTAAAGATTACGAAAGCTCAGTACAGGAATACAAGCAACATTTATGTGAAAATAAAGGGTTTTTTAACTAGATTACATAAATAATTGAAGAAAGTCTGAAGGAGCTCACATACAAGTAATGGGGATTTGCAATATCCCACCCACCATTGTAGTATTTAAACCCATCAGAGGGGTCTCTTCTGTGGGTTCTATTCGCTGCCAATATTAGATAGCTGGACTTGTTTGAAGTTTCAGCCACAAACCTTCTCGAATTCCATTCAACCATCCCACTAAATTCTCTCTCGTCAAAAAACTCTGTAACCCAAACCCAAAAAACAAAATAACGTAAAATTGAATACAAGGCCATAAACAAAATAAAAACCAACAAATTCATTCATGCATGTATACTGCAAATGTGTGTATATATATAGTTATATACAAACAATATATATATCTTGGACCTGGGATGAGTGCATGTTGGAGATGGTGAAGATGATCAGGAGCTCCATCAGAGAAGGTAAGGAAGGTTGAAAATGTGCAGAGAAATAGAAGAAGAGAATAAAAAAATGGGTTTGATTTAAAACATATCATGACGCTCCTGTAAATTCCACCCTCTTCTGGTTTGAGAGAGAGAGAGAGAAAGAGGGAGGGAGGGAGATTGTGTTTATACTATTTTTTGAGCTGAACAGATGTTTGGTATTCTACGTGGGAATGAGATCTTTGGCATTCGAAGTTTGCGTTTTGGAAAGAAATTGATTGCAGGCGTTTTATACCTTACAGGTGTTTTCTTTTTACCCGGAATACCCTTTGGAGATAGTTGTTCAATTCAATGCCTTATTTGCTTTAGTAAGCAAAGTTGTCATTTGAGTATTTTTGTGGTGGCAATGCATGAATGTCATTTGCACAATGACCTATATTTTTGGATATAATGCAACTACTCAAATAAATATTAGCGCAAATTAAAATTTGCACATTATCCCCTCGGCAAGTCAAATTGGTGTCACACTACCCTATAGTCAAACGATCATTATTTTTTGAATAAAATATGTCCACTTCCCATAAGTTTTTGAAATAAAATTGCATAGTTCAGAAAACAAAGTGATGGTCAATAATTTAGTAAGTTGTGAATGTAAGTAAAAAAGTGAGGCAAGCACATAGTTGAATGGATTAAGGAGAACGCTGATGAACTAAAAGAAAATTTTAATAATTTTTTAAAAAGAAATGAGTTTAACTGACATAAAAATGTGAAGGTGGAGTGAATATTGGATAAAACTAAGAAATATAAAATTTGAGGTACATATATATTCTGGAGATAATATTTGTACAAATGAAAAATAAGTTATGAGAAAAGAAATTAAGATGCTTTGGAAACACCTATATTTTTTTTAATTAGTTGAACGGTTAGGGGTGTCTAGATTAGTTTACGCACAAGTCAATTAACTTTCTCTCTAATCTAGTTAAAGGTAGATCATTCACATTGGACTCAACCCGTCCCTATTACCACTTTAGTTACCTTTGAAGTTGTAAGACCCAAATTAAAAATGTAGTGATATAGTGATAAATGAGGCATGCATTTTTGATTGAAATGAATATATAATTAAGTTCTTCACCACGCAAAATGACGAAAAACTATTCATGTAGCTAATCCAGTAGAAATAGAATAAAAACTGAATTTGGTTTAATTTTATTCACAAGTAATTCAAAAACAAGTGGCCTACATCAAAAGCATTCTTGTAATTTATCAGATAAATTATATCATGGTAAGTTAATATTTGTTATTTTGTGGCCTAACAAATTAATCTTGGGATTAAATAACAAATATTAATTTACCATGGTAAGTTAATAAGTTTCTTTTGTTAGGTTCGTACTGTAGGAACAACAATCCCAAGATTCATTGACGACGCGTATAATTGATTACAAAAATTTATTCGTTTATTAACTTTACAAGGTGAAATTAAGGTTTACCTCTTGAAGCGTGAACAGTACGAACAAAGACCGATATAGATCGAACAACATGCTCAATGAACTTCATGATCTTCTATTGTATATCCTTTCACACCAAAAATTCGAATACAATGTGGGTTACAATACTCTGAATTCTCTCCCTTGCTCCCTCTCTAACTTTTTAAAATGTGAAGGTAAAAGTTATGGCTAAGAGAAGGGTGCATTTATTTATATGTTTAATAATCTCTCAACGTTTAAAATTACAGATGTCCGTCAATTAATTATATTACTGATAATAATATTTAATTGACTTTTTTTCATCTTTGAGATTTTACCACTCAACTTATTTGTCATATTGAATAATTAAATTCACTTGCAGGGTTTGACATAGACAAAATTTATGAGCTTTCTCAAGAGAACATCATTGATCCATTTAAATACCGAGACGTGATTTATTTTAATAATTAGTTTTCACCATACAAATAATGTCATCTCTCAATTCATTGAATTTGTTGAGTCAAATATGAATTTTACTCTTTTATGAATTAAAATAACAATCATTATATACACATGTCAATTAAATATCTCAGGATTAAGAGTTTAATCAATCATAATAATCATAAGACAATATTTTTTTTCTTATTTGGTCAGTAAAAAGAAAATAACCACAATAATGGTTTTGTTCAATACACAAAGTGTACTAATGCAACAATTCAAGACATCAGCCAATCTCCTATAGCCAACACAAACTATGCTAGAGATTGCACTACAAGCCTACTGATGATGTGTCTAATTTCATCTAAGACTGTGAATTTTTACTTATATCATACAAAGATCTGATATTTTGTGTATAAGTTGAACTCTATACACCAAATTATCTACAATATAAAATAGAAGACACATGCATATCATATGTTTAATATAATTCAAATATTTTACTCATACAGATTCTCATTGAAATAGGAAACAATTTTTTTTTATTAAATAATAAACTAAATTTCTTTTCAAAAAACAAGTTCTTAGTATATGACTCTATCAATTCTCTCACTTATACTCAAAGTCATGTTGTCATTCATCTAACTCTCATTCCCTTCATGTGATTAAAAATCGGAGTCCGTGTACCCAATGAGTACTAGACTATTTGTCTAGTAAACCAATATATAATCTCTTGTTCTTTTTAGGTACTTGAGAATATGTTTTATCGCAATCAAATGTTCTTATCCAGGGTTAGACTAATATTTACTAACCATGCCAACGACAAAACAAATATCAAGTCTAGCGTAAAACATAGCATACATAAGATTTTCCACTGTCGAAGCATAAGGAATTGCATTCATGCACTCTATCTCTTCAGGTGTCCTAGGGCACTGCTATTTTGAAAAAGAAACTTCGTGTCTGAAAGGAAGAAATTCTTTCTTGGAATTTTGCATGTTAAAACGGACTAGAATGATATCGAAATAGGTACCTTGAGATAAGCCTAATGTCCTATCCTTGCGATCTCGCATAAACTTGATCCCATGGATGTGGCTAACTTCCCCTAAATCCTTTATGTCGAATTGATTGGATAATCATACCTTAACAGAAGATAATACCCCCCACACTTCCGTCACACTTTTTATACACACGACTCATCCAGGAATTGATCAAAATCATAAGATTTTATAGTCTGATCAAAACGAATGTTCCAAGATCTAGATGCCTGCTTAAGTCCATAAATGTACTTCTTAAGCTTGCGCACTAGATGCTCTTGGCTCTTTTATTCAAATCCGTCTGGTTGCACTAAATAGATGCACTCATCAAGATTCCCTTTATGGAATGCTATCTTGACATCCATTTGTCAAATCCCATAATCAAGATGAGTTGTAATGGATAAGAGAATCCAGTTGACTCTAGCATAGCTACTAGCAAAAAAGTCTCCTCATAATCGATTCCCTCTTTTTGAGTAACCCTTTTCACAACAAACCTTACCTTAAGGGTTTTTGCCTTATTGTCTATCCTCTCTTCCTCTTATAGATCCATTTATATCCAATGGATTTTATCCCATCAGGTGGTTTCACAAGTTCTCAGACTTGATTGAAGTACATGGACTCCATCTCAGGCGTCATAACCTTTTGCCAAAGTTCTACATCCTTATCTTGGAGTGCTTCGTTGTAAGTTCAGGGATCGACATTCTATTCCTCAAGGATCCAGTCAAAATACTTTCCCAATAATGTATACCATTTGGATTAATGAATAATCCTCCCACTACGACGAAACAATACCAGCATTTGTGTCATTAGTGATATTTTGTGCAGGTTACTACAACAATTAAGGTCTTTTGTGACAAAATTTTTTGTAACTATAAATGCGTGTTTCGTTATTGACGAGTTTCAGTGATGAATTTTCTGTCATCACTAGATGGTCACTAGAAGCTTGTTGTTAAATGTCTATAGTGACAATCTAGAATAACCGTCAGTAATTCTATATTTTTAGTGACAACACTCTTTCATCACTAAAAACAATATATTTAGTGACAAAAAAAATCGTAAAAAAAATCCTAAAAGAAGTATCACAAAAAAAGTAATAACATCACTAAAAGTACAAATGTAGTGATGAAAATATATTTTCATTAACTTATGTTATGGTGGCAATATATTGTCGTCTTTAGAGATCAACTTCCAAGGACGAATTTTAAATTCATCACTAACTGTGGGCCCTTAGTGTCAAATTAAAGTTGTTACAAATTGTAGTTTTCTTAGTTATATAACTGTCAGCAACGAAAAAAATTTGTCACAAGAAATTAAGATTGAAGACGAATTTTCATTTCGTCACTCAAACTCTTTTAAAAATATATTTTTGTTATTGCATAAAAATTGACCCCTGGAATTAACCTGATTAGAGTTGTGTTACAAATCCAATAATGTATTGTCCTGTTCTTCACATTCAAACAATATATGACAATTAATATAATAACTCAAAACCAAACTACTTAAAATTAATTTTTCTCAAATAAAAATATCATCCAAACAAATGCAAAATAAGTGTACGAAACAAGTGTTTTCCCACTTAATAAAAGACATAAGCACGGAAAGGGAATAAATAAAAGAGGCACAAGTGTTGCTTTGTCCATTGTAAACAAGTTGCACCACCATCAACAAATCTGCACATAAGAACAAAATAAAGTGATGTTAGTATGTTTTCAACATCCATATACTGTTGAAGATAAGTGTAACTTTTGTAAAACACACCTCATAAATGAGGTTCCTTTGCATAGATAACATAAAAGCAAAGAAAAAGAACCAAGACAACATCTAAACAAATTTTACTTCATTTTCACGATAAAAGTCTCAACATATAAATTGA